GGTCCGTCTGCAGGTCCGTCTGCAGGTCCGTCTCCGGGTCCGTCTGCGGGTCCGTCTGCAGGTCTGTGGGTCCGTCTGCAGGTCCGTCTGCGGGTCTGGGCTGGACGCGGAGCGCGTGATGAAACCTTTGCTCAGCTCTGCGCGGCGGCAGCGTCACACCGACACGCGGGACTCCCGGAGCCCCCTCAGCGGGTTCTGCTCAGGTCCAGTTATTCACTTCGCCAGAGTTTGAGCTGAATTTAGGAGTGAAAGAACCCGTTTTCTGCTTTTCTGAAAGGCTCTGATCAGAATCCCGGGGTCAGCATTTCCTCTCTTGGAAAAAGTCAACCGGCCACCTGAGGGAGCCTCAGACTCTGACTGCCTGGATGCTTTTCATGAAGTGATGCCTCCACCTCTCTCCTGTCCCTCATTAAAGCTTCCGGACCAGAGGCCCATGAATTATAGATGGGTCTCAGGAAGTGTGGCCTAGCTCCGGGGGGGGGGTTTGACAACAGGAAGCTGTCGTCGCCGCGGTGACACAGACAACAGCAGTAATTACAGCATGAATTACCTGCTGGCTGCTAACAGCCTCACTGGTCCAGCCGGCAGCGGACAGACGCTGCCAAGCAGGGCTTTAATACCCCGTCCAGGTTTTCAGGCAAACTTTTAGAGCACAAAGTTCACTTTACTGCTCAGTCTAACAGGGCCTATCGGCTCTGTGCCGAGAGAGGACCAGAACCAGCCTCCAAGAAGGGCACAAACCCCCACAACACGCTAAAAATCAGCCCAAAAAGTCCCAACCAGCATAAACAAGCTCATGAAACAACCCAAATGGTCGCATTTCTAGATCCACTGAGGTGGTTTCTGTCCTTCCAGCTGCAGATTGGAGCTCCTGGGGGAAGAAGCTGGCCTTTTGGGCCCAGGAGAACCTAGCAGAACCCAAGAGAAGCCAGGAGAACCTAGCAGAACCCATGAAAAGTCAGGAGAACCCAGGGGAAATTGGTGTCCTGTGAGCAGCAGGAAGTCGGGTTTTCCCACTCCGCCTCCAGACCTGATCTCTGCCTTCCAGGCTGGGGGTCAGCAGCTTAGCTTAGCTTAGGGCTGACGTCAGGCTGATTAGCGCTGGGCGGCTTCAGGGAAACCTCTCTATTTATAGGCCCTCCTCCTCACTTTCCCCCTCAGCCTCACCTGG